CAAAAAAAAAAAAAAAAAAAAAAGAAACAACAACGCAGGGGGGAGAAGAGCCGAAAAGAGAGCCCCCCACTCCCTGCTACCTTCTCAGCCTTGGTCATCAGGCCCGTCACCATCTGCCGGCCAACCTCTCCGAAGAAAAACTGGTGACTCTTGTCCTCCAGGAGGCCCTAAGGGGTGAGGAGGGAGGGGGTGAGCTGACAGGCTGGCGGTCCCCCAAAGCCGTGGGCAGGGCAGCACCGTGGGCTGGGCAGGTGGCCATCCATGCAGAGGAGCCTGCTTGACTCTGCCCCCATCCCCCAACGCACCCCGGACTGCACCCACCTCGAAGGCTTGCCGCACACAATGCAGCTTGGCCAGAAAGTCCTGGTCACTGTAGCAGCCCAGCAGTTCTGTCCTGAGGGGAAGCGCAGAGTCACAGCACCTGGGCCCCAGCCAGCAACACCCCTGTGGGGTCAGGGTGGAGCCCTGGGTGTCCCTGCCTCCACCTGGTAGTGTGACCTCGGGCAGGTGGCTGCCCCCCTCTAGGCCTCAGTTTCCCCCAAACCCAAGGAAGGGGCTGACAGGATGCTCCCTGAGGATGGGCTGCCTCGATGGCACTGGGCGCCCCTGGCAGGTGTGGTCACTGGGGGTCGGGCTGACCTCGGCCTCCTTTAGGCCCCAACCAGCAAAGGACCCTCTCTAGCAAAGGACCAAAATGGCCAAATTGCTCCCAGGGCAGGGCTTTCTGGGGCAGCTAGAGGTGCCCTGATCTGGGCACTTTATCCAAATCCCCAAGGCTTCAGCTGGGGCTTTTGCCCATTTTCAGTCAGTGAACTTTAAACACACATACTTAAATCTGGGACTCATGACCATCATACAGAACAATTAATTTAAGGTGGATAAGAGCCCTAAATATACCACACAGGAGAAGACTGAGGCTAAGAGAAGTCAGGAGACTTGTCCAGAGCCACACGCCACAAAGTAGCAAGACCTGGAGACAATCGGGGTCTGTCTCCAAAGCCTGGCTTCTGGACGGCTCCTTAAAGGAGTGTGTCAGAACACAGGGCTTAGGGACAGCGCCCACCGTGCTTCCATGATTGGACCCCTTAGAACATGTACAAATGATTGTTATTTTAATTACTTATATTAATTAGTTATTGTCATCGTCAGCCCTAGACCTGCCTGTCTTGTACCGGGGCCATCCTAGGGTCTCCGAGGCTGGGGTAGGAGCCACGGCCAGACCATCCCACCCTCAGCCTGGCTCAGCTGGGTCCCCACCAAGCCCTGCTGGCTTCCCCAGCCTCCTCCAAGGGGACAGCCCCCCACCCGCACCTGCCTCCTTCCCCCGCATGCTCACCTGAGGGTCCGGCAGGGCACTCTGCCCTCCTTCACCAGCTGCAGGGCCTCCTCGTAGGCGGCGGCAGGCCTGGAGAGTGGGCTTGGGTAATCTCCGACCTGCAGGGACTCAAAGAGCTGGGGGGAGGGTGGAAGCCTGTGTCAGCAGCATTGGCGGGCGGGTGTGGAGCCTTGGGGTGGGTCAAGGGCACCTGCCCAGGGGACTTCTGGCAGAGTACGGCCTAGGGGCCAACGCTTCAGAGGGAATGTCAGCGGGAATGCTGGCCGAGGGCAGAGGCCCGGGTTTGAGTTCTACTCTGGCTCTCAGCATCCCCATCACCGGGTGCCCTTCCCAAAGGGACCATCTACTGGACACACACCCGTGTCCTCCCATCCCAGGAAAGGACAGCCGCCTGGCACACGCGGCCATGGCAGGAAACTAACCAAGCAATGAGCACTCGGTCTGGAGAAGGGAGAGGCCGGCGTGGGCTGGAGCCGCTGGGGACGGGGACCCCTGCCCTCACTCATAGGACCTACGACCCCTGGTTTCTCAGGCTTCCCCATTCCAGCAACACTGAAGAGTCCCCCGGGGAGCAGCATTGGCGACCGCCAGATTCTGCTCCCATCAGAGGAAACGCCTTCACTTTCCCACAACCCAGTGCTCGCCCGCCAAGGAGCCGCACGGGAGCCCCAGCCTTCACCCCTCTCCCCGCAGCCATCCCCCCAACCCGCGTCACCTCAGTGGCAGAGAAGAAGGAATCCTCCGAGGTCAGGCTGTCCTCATGGTCCGCCCGCAGATGCAGCGAGCCCTCAGTCAGGGGCAGCATGAGGGTCCGCTCTGGGCAGAGAGGGAAGGGAGGGGCTGAGCTGAGACTACTGAAATCACCAAGCTTCGAGCTAAATGTACACCGAGCTTCGAGCTAAACGTACACCAAGCCTCCTAACACCCGATTCTGGACGAATGACGCTGATGGTGGCAAAGCTCCTATTTTCTGCGCTCATGTCAGGGGACCTGCCACGTCTGCACCGCCTGACCCTGAGGCCTGTGGGCCCTGAGCTCTGAGGGCAGGCTGTGCTGTGCTGTGTGGCCCTGGGCAAGTTGCTCCCCCTCTCTGACAAGCTGAAACAGCCTCTGATGCCAAAGGGCCGCTCACTCAGCACTTCCATCCCACCCGCTCAAGGGCGAGAGGTCTGGACACTCAAGGGGACTTGGGAAAGGTTCACAGCCCTGAATGCCCCACCAGCCTTCTATGTCACACGGGGAGGCCAGAGGAAGTGGGACTGCTCTGACGGGGACAGAAGTGGAATATGTGTCACCCTGGCCAGCCCTCACTGGGCCTGTGTCACCACTGGAAGAGCCCAGGAGCCCGACACTCAGTAGTCTGATGTCCCCCCCCCCCCGGGGGCAGACAGCCCCCAGGGCCCTTCCCTGGGGGGTCACAGTCACCACACAGGGTCTGGCATGCAGCAGGCACTAGGAGAACATCGGCTGCTTGGCTGAATAACTTCATTCCATCTCAGTGATGTCACACCCCCTGACCTCAATGGGCAGGGCAACAGCACAGGCTAATCTCCACGTGAGCCACCCTCCGCCCACCCGGCGCCCGCAGAATAGGGCTCAAACCAAACACCTGGAACAGCCAGCAGGGAAGATGTTGACATACAAGCCCCAAAAGCCCGCTCCCAAGGGGATGGGGCAAGACACACCAGCCAGGGACTCCCGGGGCCTCATTCCAATTCTGTTCTTGCCTGTGGGGCCTCAGTTTCCCCATCTGTGCAGGGAGGCACTGATCGGATGAGGTCGTGGGCCCTGGATATCCTGCGCCCCAGCCCCGCTCACCGAGGTCCAGCAGCATGTTGTCGGCCGGGAAGGTGGACCCGAACTCCTCCTGCAGGTGGTAGGCCCGGTGCAGCAGGGACTCCAGCTTCTCTGCAAACTCCCTTCGCTGTGACTCTGGCTGTGGGTAAAACAATGACGATCAACCCAGGCCCCCTAAGCTCCCCACGCCAATGGCCCCTTCCTTCACGATGATGGGGCCCCAGCCCCTGGGGAAACAGGGGACAGCTCTGAGGCCCAGCAGCAAGCGCAGGTCTGGACTGAGCTGCCCCACACAGGAGCCACCAGCAACGCACGGCCAGTGCACACTTGAAACTCGGCCAGTCCCACCTGACATGGGCCATGAGCATAAATACACACCAATTTCAAACACTTAGTATCCCCCCGCAAATAAAAACCCCAAGACTACAAGAACATGAAATACCTCAGTGATTTTTCATATTGATTACATGTTGAAGTGATAATATTTTGGATATACTAGATTATAGAAAATATATTATTAAGTCATTTCAGGGCTTCCCTGGTGGCACAGTGGTTAAGAAGCCGCCTGCCAATGCAGGGAACACATGTTCGAACCCCGGTCCAGGAAGATCCCACATGCCGTGGAGCAACGAAGCCCGTGCGCCACAACTACTGAGCCTGCGCTCTAGAGCCTGCGAGCCACAACTACTGAGCTCACATGCTGCAACTACTGAAGCCTGCGTGCCTAGAGCCCGTGCACTGCAACGAAGAGTAGCCCCTGCTCGCTGCAACTAGAGAAAGCCCGCGCACAGCAATGAAGACCCAACGCAGCCAAAACTAAATAAATAAAATTTAAAAAGTCATTTCACCCATTTCCTTTTGCTTTTTAATGTTGTCATCAGAAAATTTTAAATAAGATACACGGCCTCCTACTGAACAGCGCTGCTCTAGACCCGAGCAGACCTGGCCCAGACCTTGGCACCACCAGTTCCGAGCTGTGTGACCCTGAGTAAATAACTCCCTCATTCTGAGCCTCGGTTTTCTTATCTGTCAACTGAGGTAAGAGAACCTACTTCCTAGGATTTTAGGGAAAACGTGAATGAAATCAGGTATATAAAGTACTCCTACAAGACTGACCCATGGTGATGGCCAGTAAGTGCTGGCTATTATAATCAGAGGGCAGTTAGGAGCCCAGAAAGAGCTGGGCTCAACCCCACTGTTCCTATTAACCGTGTGCACTTGGGAAGGCATCGCACCCCTGGCACCACAGCCTGTGGCCTCAGTGACCTCCTCGCTGCCCTTGGCCTCCAGACCAGGGTGTGGGAAGATGGGGGCACTGGTCCTTTGAACCCAGGAGCTTCTAGGTCAGGGGTCCAGGCACGGGCAGGCCTGACTCTGTTTTCCACAGAGGCTGCCAGATCCTGCAAGTACATGTAACCAGACCCTGGGGAAGAGACAAGGGCCAACTCGGGCCTCAGGCCACTGGGAGAAAGAGGCGGAAGCACTCCGAGGGGGACAGTAAGATTGTAATGGTTGCCTTTCACTGAGCGCTAGCCCTGGACCGGCAACTCGCTGTCCAGCCTCAGGGCTTCCTTGAGGCAGGGATTGCCATGACCCCACTTCACAGAGAAAACTCAAGGAGGTTATGTGGCCCAGCGCACCCAGCTAGAGCCTGGCAGAGCCCATGGGACCCCAGACCTGCTGGCCATTTTGCTTAGTAACCCTGCTCAGTGTGGCCAGCAGAGCCTTGTAGCTTTGGCAGATCTGCCAGCTCTTTCTCTGGGAAGCCACCTTGGGTTAGAGAATGGTTTCCTACATACGACACAAGTGACAAAAGAAAAATTAGATACACTGAACTTCATCAAAATTAAAAACCTTTGTCCTTCAAAGGACACCACCAAGAAAGTGAAAAGATTGGGAATTCCATGGCCATCCAGTGGTTAGGACTCTGCACTTCCAATGCAGGTGGCACGGGTTCGATCCCTGGTTGGGGAACGAAGATCCTGCAAGCCGTGAGGAGCGGCCAAAAAAAAAAGGAAAGTGTAAAGACAACCCCCAGAATGAGGAAAAACATTGACAAAAAAGTACAAGAAAAGCCTTCTCCTCCTTTCCCTGCAGACCCTCTGCTCACAGATCACTGTTAACAATCTCCCGCGGGGACTTCCCTGGTGGTCCAGTGGTTAAGAATCCACCTTCCAATGCAGGGGACACGGGTTCAATCCCTGGTCAGGGAACTAAGATCCCACATGCTGCGGGGCAACTAAGCCCATGACGCCACAACTACTGAGCCCTTGAGCCACAACTAGAGAGAAGCCCAAGCGCCACAACAAAAGATTCCACGTGCCACAACTAAGACCTGATGCAGCCAAAGATATAAAAATGAATATTTAAAAAAAAAATCTCTTGTGTTATCTGTCCAGAGGGAAATAAAAGTGCACATACACACCAGCAGTTACCAACAGGCATATGTAGGCAAGGATGGATGTCTTTTTAAAAATGTACACATCAGCAGAAATTAGTACAACATTGTAAACAACTATACTTCAATAAAATAAATAAATAAAATGGACACATGGGTCATGAATCACTATGTTATATAGCTGTAACTTACATAATGCTACACATCAACTACATCTCAATAGAAAAAAATGTACACATGCGTCACGATAGACATTCTATATCTTGCTTTTTTCACTTCATAAAATATAGTGGAGAGAGCAACCTAACAGCCCATACAGCTTTCCTTCAGCCTTTTATTTTTCTTCTTTGCCTCGCCACACGGCTTGTGGGATCTTAGTTCCCCAACCAGGGATCGAACCCCCGCCCCTTGCATTGGAAGCACAGAGTCTTAACCACTGGACCACCAGAGAAGTCCATCCTTTTTTTCTATTTATTTAATTTATTTGGGGGGGGGGCGGGGGGCTGCGTTGGGTCTTTGTTGCTGCACACAGGCTTTCTCTAGTTGCAGCGAGTGGGGGCTACTCTTCATTACAGTGCACGGGCTCTAGGCCTGCGGGCTTCAGCAGTTGCAGCACATGGGCTCAGGAGTTGTAGCTCGCGGGCTCTAGAGCGCAGGCTCAGTAGTTGTGGCGCACGGGCTTAGTTGCTCCGTGGCATGTGGGATCTTCCTGGACCAGGGCACGAACCCGTATCCCCTGCGTTGGCAGGCGGATTCTTAACCACTGCGCCACCAGGCAGGCTGATTCTCAACCACTGTGCCACCATAAAGGCTGCCTAGTATTCCAGACCCCTACTGATGGGCACTTACACTCTCCAGGTTTTCACCTTTTTTAACTATTACAAAACAATTCATCCTAGGACATATATTTGGTGTGCTTTGCAGAAAAAAAATTTATTTTGGCTTTTCCACTTTATTTCTCTTTTCTGATACTGAGACAAATATTCACTTATAGAAAACTTGGACTGTGTCAAAAAAAAAAAAACGTATAAAGAAAAGACAAGACAAAAGCTGTGTGACCCAATCAACTATGAACACAGGCTATTTCCCTCCAGCCCTTCAAGAATGCTTTTTTTTTTTTTTTTGGCCAAGGGGCATGCGGGATCTTAGTTCCCCGACCAAGGATCAAACCCATGCCCCCTGCGGTGGAAGTGTGGGGTCTTACCCACTGGACCGCCAGGGAAGTCCCCATTTTTTTTTTTTTTTGGCTGTGTTGGGTCTTCATCGTTGCGCACGGGCTTTCTCTAGTTGCAGTGAATGGGGGCTTCTCTTGTTGCGGAGCGCAGGCTCTAGGCACGCAGGCTTCAGTAGTGGTGGCAACGTGGGCTCTAGAGCACAGGCTCAGTAGTTGTGGCACACGGGCTCAGCAGTAGTGGTGCGCGGGCTCAGTAGTAGTGGCACACAGGCTCTAGAGTGCAGGCTCAGTAGTTGTGGCACACGGGCTCAGCAGCAGTGGTGCGAGGGCTCAGTAGTAGCGGCACACAGGCTCTAGAGTGCAGGCTCAGTAGTTGTGGCACATGGGCTTAGTTGCTCTGCAGCATGTGGGGTCTTCACGGACCAGGACTCGAACCCGTATCCCCTGCATTGGCAGGCGGATTCTTTACCACTGCGTCACCAGGGAAGCCCCCCTTATTTTCTTTATGTAGTCAGGATCAGGATGTAATCACCAGTGTGGTTTACTGAGTAATTACCAAGTACCAGGCATGGGCTAATGCACCTTACGTGAACTTTCTTACTTAGCTGGGTCAACATCCTGGTCAAGCGGAAGCTCCCATCCAGGAGGACGTGATGGGCTGGCAGAAGGCGGCGCTGCTGGACGCCTCCCAAGCGTGGTCCCCCACCAGCCACACCACCAGCCTTCTCGGTGGCCGGGGGTAGGAGAGACCCGGGGGAGGACTGCCTACCTCGGACAGCGCCTCTGAAGCGGTCTCGGGGTTCCGGAGGCCGTCCCCCCTCTGCCCCACGCTCAGCGCCTGCTCCCACTTCTGCAGAGCTTCCTCAAATAGCTCCATGCCTGAGTGTGGGCGGGGGAGATGGGAGAGAAGGGTGTCAGGCCCCCAGCAGAGGGAGAGGAGCCGTGCCCCCCACCACATCGCTCAAGAGGGAGCTCAGAAGAGCGAGGAGGCAGGAGAGCCCGGAAGGATGGGAACAGCCAGGACCGTGTGGACCAGGTCCTGACCCCTTTTTTCAGGACTGGCTAGCTTGCAGGTCTTCATTCAGACCAGATCTGTTCCTGGAGACTCTGCCCGGTCCAGAAATGGCTGGAAACCGTTGAGCCGGGGATCTGGGGTGGGTGGTTTTGGAACTGATTGAAAGCAGCACCCAGAAAACCCAGCCCAGGCTCCCGGGAGGAGGCCACGCTCCCCACTACCCTGCCCCGGCCGCGGGGGTGGGGCGGGCGCTGGGCAGGGGGCGCCCAAGGCCGGCCTCCTGGCCCGTACCTTGCACGTAGAGGCTCTCAGCATTGCCGCTGCTGGTGGTCACGGACTCCTCCATCCCTCTGGTGTCCCATGGCCCCGAGCATGCAGCCACGGGGCTGGATGAGTTCACCACTACCATCTGGGTGCCAAGTAGCGCAAGAACCCGAGAATAAGGGATGAGGCCTTCCCAGACCCCTTGCAGGACCCCTGAGCCTCCCCCTACCCACCGCCCCTCACCACACGCCACGTGCCCTCTGCAATACCATCCCTGAAAACAGCCCCGGGCCGCAGTGGCGAGCCCCCGGCACAGCCTGATTCCGTCAACTCCAAGCGCCTGAGGACACGTCACAGAAATGGCCAAAGCAGGAGGAAACACTGAGGCCAATGCCCAACCCAGGAAGCTGCAGCCTCCTATGAAACCCACCCTGAGCTCCACTCCTAAAAGGCATAACCCCCTCCCTACTCCGGGGCTCCACTACGAGTGAGATAGGGAGGACGCAACGAGCACCCATTACATACGGGCCGGCAGGGCCCGGCTCTCACCCACGCGTCTCTCCCACACGAGCAGCCACCCGCCTCCCAGGCGGGAGCAGAGCCAGCTCCTGCTCGTGCCTGGGTCCCCAGGGCAGTGGCCGGCTCAGAGCTGGGGCTCAGTGCTCGCTGGATGAATGAACAACTAGACGAGTGAATGAGCCAAAAGCCGTTCCCCAAGAGAAAATAAACTTCTTTGTCTTATTTATCTCTCTCTATCCTCAGCGCCTGGTAGTCTCTGACAAAAAGCCAGTGCTTGCTCAGTGTCTGATGAATGAATGAATGAATGAATGAATGCACTTCCATGGGTAAGTATCTTCCCCAAGAGATCGCAGCTTCTCTTCCGCCTTTATCCACCTTTCCCTCACCAGTGCCCGGCACACAGTGATCACTGACCATCTCTGCAAGTCCGCACGGATGGATGAGTGAACGAACCAACCAATGAATGGGTGGAACCTCTTCTCCCATCTTCCTACCAGCCCAGAAGCCCCCGAGGGCAGAGACTGGCACCCCAAGGCCATGACAGGCGCCCTGCTACCCTCACCGAGGCCAAGCTGCGGGAGGAGCCTGAGTGCTTGCTGGGCTCGATGGAGGAGACGCCGCTCAGCGTGTCGTTGCTCCTGCTACTGGGGCTCTGGACCCTCCGGCTGGAGTAGCCTGCGAGGAACAGGAGAGGGGTCACGCCAGCTTCCCACCCAGCCTTCGCACGGCTGCTGCCCGCTCCGGACCCCTCTCCCCGTCTTCACCTGGGAGTCTGTCCTGACCTTCTAAGTCAGGGTGACAGCAGAGCACCCACAGGGCATGCACCTAGCAGCACAGGGCTGGGCCCCTGCCCCTCGTCCTGCTCACTTCCGTACCCCTGTTACGCGGCGCAGGGCCTGGCCCGGAGCGGCCTGGATCTGCTGGGTTAAGCCTGAGAATGAGGCCCAGCCACTTCCACCTCCTGACTCAGCTTCCCCTGTGTTGTTGATTGACTGACTGATCTGGAATTCTCCTCCTTCGAAAAAGGATTTGAGGCACCAACTTTTCAAAAGACATAGTTTTGTTTTGGTTTGGTTCTTTTAAGCGAGAAAAGTAGGGAAGGCAAAATAAGGTGGAACCAGAGATGGTGCTGGTACAAAGTAGGCAAGCAAGAGGTTAGTCCAGAAACGACTCCAGGCTTCCAGTGGGGCCAATGCAGAATGGAAAGCCAGCTGTGCCAGCATGTCTCGTGGTCCTGTTCTAGACTGGTCTACAAACTTCTCTGGCCAACTGAAAAGATAAAAACTTCCCTTTTGCAATGATAATTCATAATTAAAAGTCATTGTCGGGCTTCCCTGGTGACACAGTGGTTAAGAATCCTCCTGCCAACGCAGGGGACATGGGTTCGAGCCCTGGTCCGGGAATATCCCACATGCCGCAGAGCAACTAAGCCGGTGCGCCACAACTACTGAGCCTGCGCTCTAGAGCCCACGAGCCACAACTACGGAGCCCACGTGCCACAACTACCGAAGCCCGCACGCCTAGAACCTGTGCTCCGCAACAAGAGAAGCCACCGCAATAAGAAGCCCGCGCACCGCAACGAAGAGTAGCCCCCGCTCGCCGCAACTAGAGAAAGCCTGCGCACGGCAACGAAGACCCAATGCCGCCAAAAATAAATAAATAAAATAAATAAGTTTTTTTTAAAAAAGTCATTGTCACAGAAGGAGATTTTGCCTCTTAAAACAAGTTTCTTCCAACATGAGAGCCTTTGAGGACTCCTTGCCTTGGAAAGCGATCTGTATACGGCATACACTGGGTTACTGGGTTACAAGATTAACGGGACCATAAGAGGCTTTTAAAGCCACACCAGCAGACACAAAACAGGTCAGCGGCTGCCAGGAGCTGGGGGAAGGGGAAAGGGGCTGACTACCAAGGGCCCTGGGGGGATTTAGAGCAACAGTTCTTGATTGTGGTAGTGACTGTATGACTATAAGTGTTTGTCAAAACTCAAAAAAGTGTGAATCTTACTGTATGCAAAGAGAAAAAGAGGGGGATGGTGAGAATACCAAAAGGCTCAGGAACCATCTGGCCCTTTCTGCTCCTGAGCCAGGGGACTTCCATCGCTGGACGGAGGAGCTGCACCCCACCAGCCCACTCTGGACCCGGTGCTCCCAAAGGGTCCTCAGATCATGAGAACCATCGCTTCCAATGACATGTGCATCCGGCCACATCACCCAGCAAATCCTTACAATGACCTGCTTCCCAGGTGAAAGGGACTCAGCTTGGAGACAAGATGTCACTAGCCCAAGATCTCAGCTAACAGGGGTCCAGCTGAGACTTGACTCCAAGTCAGGCCCTTCCCCACCACCTCACACCTACCTTTCTTCATTGACGGGACCTTCCTGGCCATGAGGATGGGGAGGGGCGCTGTGCCCAGATGCTCGCCTCCCATCTCGGGGCCGACCTGCTTTTTCTTCCGCCGTCGCCTCTTCAGCTGGTGGGCGGCCAGGGCCAAGGCCACAGTCCCCAGGGCCGTGGCAAAGAGGACCTTCCTCAGGCCTGGTGTCAACCGCAGCTGGGAGAAGGCAGACTGCAAGAAAAGAGGGAGGCAGCCAGTTACATCTCCCTGGGAGAGCTGCCCTGAGGAACACGTGAGGGGCAGGGAACACATCAGGCCCCCAGGGGATACCTCCTGACCAGGAATGACTGAGAGGCAGCCACCTGCAGGGGGCTGTGGGGGTGGGAGTTGGGGGCCCTGGCCTCTGAAACCTGGATCACAGAGATGTAAAAGAGTGGGACGGGGGACGGCAAAATGACAAGGCTAGGAGATCATATCTGGGGTCCAGCAGGTGTCCCCAACACCATCGGTCAGGATTCTACCAGCTGCAGTGACTGAGCACCTATGCCAGCTACTGCACCAGGATTTCACCTGTGTTACCTGTCCGAATGCCCATCATTTTCCAGGTGAGGCACCTGAAGCTCACACGGGTTAGGACGCACGCTTAAGGTGACAGGGAGGCAGAAATGGAACTGAGGTCTGCCCACCCCACTTCTCCACTCTTCAAAGACAATGACGTTCACTTTACCCGATGGTCCATCTGTACACTCCCCTGCTCCACCCTCACTCTGCCTGCTGGACTGGGAACCCCTCGAGCGAGGCTGCATCCCACAGGGCAGAGCTTCAGGAAGTGTCAAGAGGACTGGTCAGCCACAAACATTTAAAGTTGGCAGGCATTACTGACCTCTTTTATAAACTGAGAAACTGAGGTCAAGAGTCCACATAGGCCTGGGGTGGAGACCGGGCTTGGGACCCCAGACTCCTAACCCAGTCCTCCTTACTCTGCTCAAAGAGGATTGCCTGGGACAGCAATCACGAGGGCCCAACTCTCCTGATGCTGAGGGACCCTGGGATGAGTGGCTCAGTTTCAGGGACCAGAGAGGTAAAGGGCAGGACCACAACCCGCCCTGATCTTTACCTGCCCAAACGTCGTGTAAAGGAACACAGGGATCTCTGCCACCGTCATGGCCAGGGCCTGGATCATGGACATACCCTCAGTCCTCCGGAATGCCATGGCAGGATCGGCACCCCAGGCGAGAGCCCTCGGGGCAGAGAGCTTCCAAGGAGAACGTCTTCAACTGGTTGCTGGCTGGGTCCCAGGCACCATCCACGCCCCGAAAGGACGGGGACACACATACCAGAAGGTCCCTCCACAGAGCTGAGAGACAGACGACCAAGTCAGCCACAAGGGTGTGTGCATGTGAGCATAAAGAAACACACACAAGAGTGCTCTGGGGGATGAGGTGGGATCAAAGCCCACGTGTGGAATGCGAGGCCTGGAACCAGGCCCCCGCCTTCTGCCCCTGCCAGCAGGAAGGTAGCCAAACGCCCCACAGACTTTCTGCCCACCTTGAGCCCTGGGAGAAGGCAGTGTCTGGCACGCTGGCCCAAGTAAGGACCCAGAGCCTGGGAGATGGATAGGTCACTCTCAAACTTGGGGCTTTATACCACACTTTCTCAATCTTTTTAAACCCATGGCCCACGTGCTAAGCAAAAACCTTAGGCCTCTAAAGGGTCAGACCCCTGAGTGAGAATCATTGCATCTTTTCCACCTCCCACAAAACCAAGAATGTTGTACTCCCTGTGGACGTGTTACGAAAACAGCAGGGTATTTCCTCAAATAATAACAGCTACCACACCGTATGTGGGTATTCTGTGCAGAGTTCCTTACATACATTATTTCACTGAATCATTACAATTCTATGAAATAGATGCGATCTACCTCCCACACCCCTGCCAATTCCCAACGAGGAAACTGAGGCTCAGAAAAGCTAAGTCAGGAGTCCAAAGTCACACAGCTGGTACCAGGCGGAGTCAGGACTTGGACCAAGATCGAATGGACTTTCGACTCTGTGCTCAACACAACCCTTTCACCAAATCTGACATGGAGCAGGAAGTGGGAGCCTCAGCAGAACTACAGACTACAAGGGCAACTTTCCCCTGGGGCCTTGTGAGACAGGGGACTCCACGGCCCATTCCAAGGCCAGTGAATAAGTGGCTTGCGCACATATAACCCAGTCCCCAATCCTGCAGAGGACTCCCCGACCACCACCACCGAGGCCAAGGATGCCTTCAAGGTCTCCTGGGACTTCAAACGAAATGACCACGAAGGCCAGATGGACCCTGTCTACCTGGGATGGCGGCCAAAGTCACTGGACTGGCACAAGAAACGGCTTGTGTGTGTGTGTGTGTGTGTGTGTGTGTGTGTAGGATAAGGGACATCCTGCCAGGAGGCTACAAATTGAGCGATGTGACCTCCAGTGGTCACAAGCCAGCTCTCTCAGCACCACCCCCAACTTGGCCCAAGCCTCAGAACGAACGAGGGAAGACAAGAACATCAGAGGATCAGCGGCTACTATTTCCCAAGCACTTACTTTAACAGGCCAGGCTTGGAACAGACTCTCCATGAAAGGTTTTAAGTCTAGTCACCCACAGAACCCTCAAAGCAAGCACTGTTTATCTCAATGATGGGGAAACTGGGGCTCCAAAAGGTAATCAAGCCTACCGAGGTCACTGAGTAAATGGCCAAGCCGGGATATGACCTCAGCTCTGGGGGACCTCAAGGCTTGGCATTTACCTGCAGGAAAGTCAAAAGCAGCCTCTGCTGCCCCGACTGAGGGAGA